AAAGTAAAGAATATAAATGTATTAGCCACAAAAGGATGGGACCTTAGAAAGAAGGAAGGGAAAAAAGAAGGAAGGAAGGAAGGAAAGGAAGAGGGAGGAAAAGAGGGAGAATGGAATGGAGGGAGGAAGGAAAGAAGGAAGGAGAAAGGGAGAAAGGGAGGGAAGAAAAGGAAAAACAAGCATTTATTAAACACCTACTATGTATCAGGCACTGGCACTAAGCACTTTACAAATATTATTTCATTTGATCCTTAGAACAACCCTGGGAGATATGTGCAATTATTATCCCCATTTTACACTTGAGGAAACTGAAACAGAATTTAAGTGACTTGCCCAGGGTCACACAAATATTAAATGTCTGAAACTGAATTTGAATTCAGGTCTTCCTGGCTCCAAGTACAACACTTCATTCCACTGCATAGTCCAATTACATCCTTTTATAGATGAGAAACAATTCTCCATGGAGGTAAAGGGATTTGGCCAAGCCAAACTTGGCAAGTCAGGCCCCACACTGAAGTCTTCTAATTCCCTGCCCGGGGCTCCTTCCCCTGGGCAGTGTTGCCTTTCTGATGAGGGGAATGCCTCGCTCTGGCCCCCCATAGGTTTCCTTAGAGGTGACCCTGCCCCACCCCCCAACACACACACACAGCTGTGCAGAGGTGGAGATTCCCCAATACTGAAAGCACGGCCTGTCCCAGTTAAAGCCTTTTTCCCAGTTCCCTCTTTAGGGCTTCCAAAAGCCCAGGGCCAAGGTGTCAATGCTAGAACAACTCTGAGGGCCTCACAACGTAACAACCCACAAGGGGAGCCCGGCTCAGAACCAGGTCCTGGCACTCTTGAGTGCCCTTTAAATATCACACTCCCCACCAAGCACTCAACTTCCTCTTGGAGTTTTTGGTGTATTTGCTCTTCCTTCCTTCCTTCCTCCTTCAGGTTCCAATTTTGATGCAAACACCACCCCCCACCTGCCTACACACAGGGCCACTCAACTTGGGGCAGTACAGACCACCCCCCCCCTCCCCAGGGAGATGAGGTGGGGGAAATCTAGAGCAGAAGTTCTTAATCTTTTCTATATCCTGTACCTCTTCATCAGTCAGATGAAACCTATGGAGCCCTTCTTCAAATAAGGCTTTTTAGATCATGAAGTAAAACACAAAAGATTACAAAGAAAACCAACTATGTTGAAATTATTATCAAAATATTTTTTAAAAAAGCATGTTCATAGATCCCCAAGTTAAGAATCCTTCATCTAGAGAAACAGCAAAGAAATAGGGGGCCTGGAGTGAATTCAATTCAACAGATTTTGTTAAGCATCTGTTATGTGCTAGGTATAGTGAATAATCCACCAAGAAGGCTGAGGACCTACCAAGTTCCCAACCTTGGGCTAGGACAGGGAGTCAGAAAGAGATCAAACATTCCTGGGCCTCAGGGAACTTAGCATCACCCTGGAAAAATAAGACACGATTAGGAACATACAAGACTAACCGTGAGTACCGAGTGAGCAGTCCAGACACTGAATGTGTTTTTATTTTGTGGTGTTTTTTAGTAAGTAGTATTTTATTTTTTTCCAATCACCAGACACTGAATATGTAAAGAGCTACCTTTCCAGACATGTTTTTGTGTACTCTTCTTTCCCACCCTCTATCATATAGCCAATCTGGCCTGTTCACCGGTCTCCCTGCACTACATTCCAGTCTCTCACCTTCATACCTCACCCAGGCTATGTCCCCCCTGCTTGGAACGCTCTCTTCCTTACTTCTGCTTCTGAATCCTTGCCTTCAAGGTTCAGTTAAGATTCCATCTCCTTAAAAACCAATTCTGATTTCCCTATTTGCTAGTGTTCTCTCTGAAATCATTGTGCATTAGCTTCTCTGAGTATATATTGTTTTCCCCAGTAGAATGTAAAGTCTTTGAGGGAAGAGACTGGTGGTTTAGGTTTTTGGTTTTGTTTTTTGTTTTTTTGGTCTTTCAACCCTAGGACCTTGCATCATTCCTGGCATATGCTTGGTGCTTAATATATGCTTGTGATTCTAGTGCCCAGAGGTTGTTTTTGTTCAGTTGTTTCAGTTGCAACCCTTCATGGCACCCATTTGGGGTTCTTGGCAAAGATACTGGAATGATTTGCCATTTCCTCCTCCGGTTCAATTTTACAAATGAGGAAACTGAGGTGAACAGGGTTAAGTGACTTGCCCAGAGTCACACAGCTCATAAGTGTCTGAGGCCAGACTCATCTTCCTGATCCTCATCTTCCAGGCCCATCCAGGCTCTATCTACTGCATCATCTAGTTGCCCACCTGATGCCTGGTATAGATCTATAATGCAAGAAGCTGATAACACATATTTCTAAATTCCCATAACTCAGGTCAGAGTAACCTCTAGGGACAGTCCAATCTCTTAGGGGGGAAATGGTGAGGAAACTTTATGGAGAGGGCACAGAGGAATGTGGCCTGTGGCCTTGGGTCTCATCACTCTTTATCCATCCCCTTGACCTCCACTTACTGGAAAATCTAGGCCTTTCCTTCCCTCATGTCCACCATCATTGGTTCCAATGGCAAGTAAGCTAGAGCCTTGAGCCCCCCACTGACATCTGCTCGAAATGTATAGCGCTGAGCCTAGCGTGTGTCTGCTGGTATGGGGGCCATGGGGAAAAGGGAGAGTTCACGCTCGTTGGTGTACACATGTCTGTGCTTGCAGAAAGGGATGTTGTACCTGTGTTTTCCTGTTTGTGCTAGGGGTGGGGAGGGGTGTCAGAAGTGGAGAACTGTGTCCCGCCCCACCTGACCCAGAACCCACAAAGAACATGACGCTTTTGTTCTAATCAACACCTTTGAAAGCAGCTTCCTCCAAACCACAGGCCACGTCAGCTGCGTGTGCAGCCCCACCAGATAGGGTGCGTGTCTGCGGTGAAGCACACGTGTCGGCCCCCATGTGCACCTCGAACTTTGTTCCTCTGGTGGAAGGTGGTGGGGAGGTGGAGGAGACCGAGGCAGGAAAGACCCAGATCATCTAGAAAGTGGAGATAGAGGGGACAAATGATAAGTGATGAGACATAGAGACCCAGGAGCCCAGGCCACAGCCTTGTTTTGGTTTTTCAGGCAAGATAGGGATCTCTGACCCCAATGACGTTTGTTTCCCCTGACTGTGTCACACTCTGAGAGGTCTGGAACTATCCTTCTCCCCTGCCCCCACCCTTAAAAGAAAGAGCCTTTGGTGCCATTGAAGCTACAGGCTGCCTTAGCTTTCCTTCCTCCAGCCTCGGCTCAGCCTGGTTTGGGGGGATCAGACAAGGTTGGGACAGATTGGCCAGAAAAATCAGCAGGCTCAGTGGGAGCAGAACAAATGCACATCTATTTCGCAAGAGGAAAATCCATCCTGCAGTAATCCTGATCACTATGCAAAGTGTCCCAAAATTATTAGTGCAATTTTAAGTTTTAATGCAGCCTTGACTATATCACTCTACAAGAGGATTCTTTGCTTTCTACAGAATTCTCAGACAAAAGAATGCCTCCTTGGGGAGGGCAAAAGAAGAAAAGGATGCTAAGCCTGCCCTCAAGAAACCCTCTCTCTCTCTCTCTCTCTCTCTCTCTCTCTCTCTCTCTCTCTCTCTCTCTCTCTCTCTCTCAGGAGGCCAGACTCATGCTCTGATAAAATAGTGAAATAACCATAGAGGACAGGATATGAGTAACTTCAAGATTATCTGAAACAGACAACATATAGTGTAGGAGTCAGAAAAGATAAGAACTAATGTTGGTCTGGGTGGTCAGGGAAAGCTTCCCGGAGGAGGCAGAGTTAAACTTGGCCTTGAAGGATGGATGGAAATAATAGCAACTCATGTTGAGGTATTACATTAAGGTCTAATTCAATGGAAAGGGCCTTGGAAAGGATTCGGATCAGAAGCTCGTGGTTTGACACCCAAACCTAGGTCAAAATGCAGCCTTCCAGGTGTTAGCCATGTAACTCTCTAGGTCTCAGTTCTCTTATCTGTGTAGTGAAGCTGTCCCCTATATGTAGCATGAGGGTGTCACTGAGTTTCTCATAGGAAAGGAGAATAGCCATCTTTAAAAAAAGGAACATGCATGCAGCCCCAGCTCAGTGTTCTTCCCCCACCCTTCTTCAAGGACACTTTAATTCCTGACAGGAGGGTAAACAGGAGGTTGAGGCTAGAAAGTTGGCCACTCTACTCTCCTCAAAGAGAAGAGGTACTCGGCTAGAATTATATCTATCTGCCCCCCTAAAAAGTATTAGTCTAGGCAGAGATTCCCAAACTTATTTGGCCTACTACCTTCTTTAAAAAAAATTACTCAGTACCCTCCTGAAAATCTACTTTCTTGAACCCTTTAATGGTTTTTTAAAAGTTTGTGTCATTTCAAAAATATATAAAATGTTTTTTTAAAAAATGACACACCTTAAATGTGATAATTTATTGTAAATTTATGGGGTTTTTCCTGCATTGAAATTTTGATGGTGCAATATTGCGCCATGTAACCATATATTATATTATTGTGAACAAGTCATTACACGCACATATTCCTGCCAATGCATGCTGGCCTTCCTGACAATGAGCAGCAAGCTTGCCTGCCAACACATGCTTGTTAAGACCTGTCAGTAGACTTGACCACTGTTCCGTTACAACTTGCATTTTGTGTGTTTATTTGGAAAATAATGTAATCACTACAACTTCAGCTCTATTATAGAACAGATGAAACAATTACCAACGGTTTTTCAAATTTTTCTTGTCTTTTCTTCTTTTCTTATGCTTCCACCGCCTCCTTATTTTTATTCAATGCCCCCAATTGCACCTAACGCTACTACTGTCCCCCCAATCATTTCAGTGCCCTTCCCACCAAATACTAGTTCCACATGTAGCAAATAGCAAAGAAACCCATTTATCCAAGTCAATAGCAAAACAGAAATCAGAGAAAGTCTACATAAAAGAATATAAATTGGACAATACAGAATCAATTTAACTCAATTCAATAAACATTTATTAAGTGCCAGGCACTGTGCTAAGTGTTAAAAATACAAAAAGAGACAAAAGACAATCCTTGCCCTCAAGGAGCTTACAATCTAAGGAAGGAGTTCCTCCCTCATCAGAGACAAGGTAACAGCTCAACCAAGACAGAGAGAATCCCAGAACTCAATCAAAGGGGAAAGTTCCCCAAAGTCTCTAGTGTAACAAGCTGAGAACAGGGACATGATAGGAACCGCTAGCTCCTCTCCTGTTGGCTTCTTCTCATCTTGTTCTCCTTTTGGGAGTCTGAAGTGGAGTTGAAACCATCCATCTTCTCTCTTGAAGCTGGACACCAGAAGTGCCCAAAGCTATTGCAGAGACCTAAGAGACTGAAGGGCCAGAAGAAACACACATGTTACCAACTCTGCCCCATCCCTCACCCAGGCCCAGGGCACTGATCTGCACCAATGAGAAGACAGTCCCATACCAATGGGTTTGGGGACTCGGGTTACATCTGTAAAATAAATAAACAAACAAACAAATAAGTAAATAGGTCAGATCAGATGCCCTCTGCAATCAGATGGTCCTCTGGTTCACATGGTGTAAGGTTTTTACAGAAGGAGATAGGGAAAAGGTCATTCCTCGATTTCTTGCACTTGACATTCTACCCAAGCTGGCCTACTAGCAATTCTCTGCACTTGAAATTCCATCTGCTGTCTTCATGCTTTCACACAGTCTGTCCCACATTCCTGGAATGTTTTCTCTCCTCACCTCTGCCTCACAGAATATCTCCCTCCCTCAGTGCTGAGCTGAGGTGACACTTCCTCCCTAACCCTACCACCCCACTTGTTGGCTCTCTTCCTGCTTAAATCACCTTGGATTTACTTCACTTATGCATTCTTCTAGAGCAAGGGTTCTTAACCCAGAGTCCAAAAACCCCCTATGAGAGATTTCAGGGGCCTCATGAACTTGGATGGGAAAAAACACATCTTTGTTTTTACTACACTCTAATTAAATTTTTTCATTTCCTTCAATTATTTTGAAACATTCTTATGTGGGTATTTGTTTTACTTGATTATGCATATTTGTTACAGGGATTTTGTTTTTCTTCTCTTTTGAGAGAGAAAACTGACTTTTGTTAATAAAACTGGTGGAAGGAAGGATCAGGGCTTTATTAAGCATACGCTACAGTGCCAGGCATTATGCTAAGAGCTTTACAAATATTATCTCACTTGATCCTCACAGCAACCGTGGAAGGTAGATGCTATTGTTACCCCCATTTTACAGCTGAGGAAACTAAGGCAGACAGAGATAAAATAACTTCTCAGGGTCACACAGCCAATAAGTGACTGAGGCTAGATTTGAACTCAGGTCTTCTTGACTCTAGACCCAGTGCTCTATTCACCACACCACCTGGCTACCTAGGTGACATATGAGCTATAGTTGTTCTGCTTTCCTGACATCTCTCCTTAATATCCCCTTCTCTGTTCTGACACAGCTGCTTGTGCTCTGGTACAAGGCTCATCACCTCACTCCTGGACTATGGTAACAAACTCCCAGTTGATTTGGCCTCAAATCTTTCCCCACCTCAGTCCATCCTTTGCTTAGCTGCCAAAGTGATTTTCCCAACTCACAAGTCTGACCATGTCACTCCCTCTTCATTATTGTGAGAAGAGATTTGTGATATTGTGAGAAGATATTATGAGGTGTCATTCAACAGACTTCCAAAGGGGTCCATGACATGAAAATAAAAGCTAAGAATTTCTGCCCCAGAAGAATTGAAGGCCAAAACTGTTTTCATCTTTGTCTCTGTGTTCCCCTACAGCCTAGCACAGCGCCTTTCACAGAGGAAGTATTTAATACGTACTTATTGAGTCAAGTTGATTCCCTATGAGAGAGGCCTTTATTTGCCAACAGATGGGAGGAGTGTCCCTCCCCACCCTTGCAGCAACTACTTCCCTTGTAGTTTATAACCTAGTCTTGAAAAATGAAGAGAAATAGAATCCTGTTCACCTCTCACATCTTGATTTCCTTTCCCAGGGTCTCTGTTGAGGAGCTGAAAGTACACTTAGGTTACTCCATGAACAGGGACAAAATCAGTCCCTATGGTAGGAGCAAAGCCAGGTTTTGCTGAGTAGGTCCTTGCCTTAGTCATTTCCAGAATCAACTAATCTTCAAAAATACAGGATGTTCCAAAAGTCTTAGTATTGTGGTAAGAAAAAAAAAAAAAAGCTTAAAAGTTGGGCTAAGACTTTTGGGACATCCTGTCTAGCTCCTGGAGCAGAGCAATGAAGAATATAAGAAGAATAAAAGGGATGTGTACCGAAACTATTTATGGTAAACCTTTTTGTGGTGTCAAAGAACTGGAAACTAAGTAGGTTCCCATCAAATGGAAAATGGTGGAACAAAATGTATGTGAATGTAGTGGAATAGTATCAAATCATAAGAAATAAACAAAGGGATAGTTTCAGAAAAACCTCAGAAGACTTATGTGAACTGATGCAGAGTAAAATAAGCAGAAACAGGAGAACAATTGATACAATAACAACTTTAAAGACTGAAGAACTCTGATAATATATTGACAGCACCAGATGAAGCGTGACACCCATCTCCTGACAGACAGGTGATTGACTCAGGGTACAGATTGAGAAATATGACTCGGCCAGTGCAGTCATTTGTTTTGCTTAACTATGCATAGTTGTTACAAGAGTTTTGTTTTTCTTTTTTTTTCCCTTTCATTTGAGAGAATGGGAAAGAAGGATAACAGTCAGCCCTTTGACTGAATCCAAACTTCACAGAACGAATCACGGAACAAATTTGTTCTGTAAAACTTGGACTCAGTCAAAAGGCTGCACCCAAGGAACTAGAAGTCCACATGTGGCTTCAAGGCCACAGGCTCCCTACCCCTGCGAAAACTTCTTCTCCCCCCCCCAAAAAAAAAAGAAAAGAAGAAAGAATCATTGAAGGATAAAAAAAAAAAAGATGCACAGCAAAGAACAGAAGACCATAATTACAGATAAGGACAACTTTGAAAGTTAGATGATAAATTTATTGTATATTTTAAAAGATAAATAAAGTGAACATAAAAGAAACTCACAGGTTTACATACAATCTTTTTTTCTACCCTGCTATGTATATGGAAACACTCATTTTATTTGACTTGTGTTAAGTTCGGAATAAAAAAAATGTTTAAAGAAACAGTAAGGGTGGGAATAGCAGGGCAGAACCTTGAAAGAAGAAACAGTTTCAGCACCTACTAAGTAATAAAGCCTGAACAATCTTGCCTCTGTTGCTTACAATTTGTGTGACCTTGAGCAAGTCAGTTTACCTTAATGGGGCTCAGTTTCCTCATCTGTAAAATAAGTTGGCTTCTAAGAACCCTTCCAGCTCCTATGATTCAAGGGGAAATTATTAGTCAGTGCCCTGCTCAAGGCCCTCCACCTCCAGAAAGTCCCCTGGGATTACTTTACCTCTTCTGGAACTCTCCTCCAGCAATTAGACGCTCTGCCCCTTAATTTTACACTGCCTTGTGTTGCTTCACAGTTGTTTTCTATCCTCCCCTAGGGCACAAACCAATTCTCCTCAAAGCCAAGCACTGGTTATGCAGTAGATTTCAGTATAGACTCTAGGAATGTTAGGACTGGAAAACACTGGCAAAATTATTTTGTTCAACCCCCACTTTCTACAAATGAGGAAACTGAGGCCTAGAGAAATTAGATGACATTCCTAAGGCAGGGGGATGCTGGGCCAACTTTAATGGGTTCCAAATCCGATTGTGAAATCTTCTGTGTGAGTGTTGAGACCACAGAAATTGGCAAATGATACACAACAGGCTTTGATTTGTCCTTTTGTGGATTGCCTAGACTTAAGAGAGTGATAGGGAAAATGTTCATCATGCTGATTAAACTAAAAAGTGTGTCTGGCATACATTGTGGAGAGCTAGTTGTTAAACATTTACCAGCACGGCACTGGGCCAAGGTCATAGAAGAAGTTAACAAACGCTTTGGGGGGTGGATTTGATTGAATTGAACTGAAATGAGGTGAATTGGGAGGGACAAATAGGGGCTGACAATGGTGGGGAAGGAGAGGAGACAAGTAGAACTTTACTTAGAGCTGCATACTTCATGCACAGACCAATATCTGTAAAACTCAGAAATAGGTATAGGGGTAGAACAGAGAAGGGGAGAGAGAGAAAGAGAGAAAGGGACAAGGGTAGAAAGAGTGAAGACCAAAAAAAGAGAGACACACATAGAGCCATAGTTCAATGTGCAGCCTGGCTCAGCCCCCCTGGGGACACACGTGGGCTGCACGTTTCCATACCTTATGCCAGGCCTGCCCTTGGAGGCTGCTGTGTCTGTGATGCGGTCAATGAGCCCCGCCAGACAGGGCCTCTGGCAAAACTAGAGAGATGTGTAGGTGGGGTAGTGGAAAGAAGCATAAGTCAGGCCAAACATCTGAAACCCATCAGGCCTTCTTTCTCCTCTTTCCTCTTCTCGGGATCCAGCTCAGCCAGGGCAACTTAATTGCTGTTGGCCCAGCCCACCCTTCCATTCTCTCCCTGGGAAGGGTTGGAACCTCAGCTGGCAGAGAAAGAGGAAGGGGATAGAGGAGGAGAGGGCCGAGAGAGGGAGGAGATGACTTAAGGCCCAGCTTCCAGACTAGTGGGGAAACTGAAATTTCTCAACCCTAGAAGATCCACTCAAGTGCTCTGATAAAGGGCCTTGGTTTATGGAAATGTCCAGCTGCCTGGGATCAGCCCTCTAGGTCAGGAGGATCGGCTTTCTGACAGCTTGAGGGGCTGCCAAAGTGTCCCTCTTTCAGGGCAGAGTAGTTTTTAACAGGTTAGGAACCTACTTTTGTACTTCCATCAAAGTATTAAAGGGTCTGGAGCTAGGAGGGACCTTAAAGATCATTTGGCCTAACCCCTTGCAGATGAAGAGCTAAGGCCCAGTGAGATCCAAGTGTCTCGTGCACAGGAAAAGGAAGAAGAAGAAGTAGAGTGTGGATTCCCAATCAAGTCCTCTTGTCCCAAATCCAGTGCTCCTTCCCCAACCACTGTGTACTAGGAGTACAATATAGTTAAAAGAACAATGTCTCTGTAGTCAGAGGTCCTAGGTTCAAATGCTGCCTCTATGGATGCTTTGGGCAGGTGAAATCTTCCTGGATTTCATTTCCCGCATCTGTAAAATGAGGTGTTTGGACTAGATGATCTCTGAGGTCCCTTCTAAGACACGACCTATGACTTATGAACTCCTATTCTCAAAAGCCCTGACTCCACTCAGAGACCTCAAGTCAATTCAACAAGCATTTATTAAGCACCTACTATGTGCCAGGCACTGTGCTAAGTGTTAGGGATACAATGAAAGGCAAAAGACAGCCCGTACTCTCA